TCCCACTATGGTGGTAGACCTGGCCTCCGGAGTCCGGAGGCCAGGTCTACCACTGTAGTGGGAAGAAGTGAGTAGACCTGGCCTGCGGAGTTCGGAGGCCAGGTCTACCACTGTAGTGGGAATGGGTGGGTAGACCTGGCCTGCGGAGTTCGGAGGCCAGGTCTACCACTGTAGTGGGAAGGGGTGGGTAGACCTGGCCTCTGGAGGGGGGGCGCTCCAGGGCAGGGGGGTAATTGAGCCAGGGGGTGGATGGGGGTGGAGGAGATAGGAGAACCGGCGGGATAGGGGGGGAACTTACCTCCTCCTGCTGCTTCCTCCTCTTCCTCATAGTTGTGGAGTTCCCCCTCTCCCGCGAGTATCGCGGGTCCCCCCCTTGTCCATTATAATTCTCTTTATTCCTAACCATTTGTATACTGGTTTCCATCTATCCCAGTGCTTGTCTTCTGGTTTTTGTTTTAACTCCATGTTAACTCTATCCATCTCTACTATTTCTAGTGTTTTATTTTTCAATTCTTTTATAGAGGGTATGACGCGGGTTTTCCATCTTTTTGCAATTAATATTCTGGCCACTGTTATTATGTTATTATATGTATAACTATGTGGTCATAATTTTTACTATCCTCGGGGGTCATGTTTAATATAAATATCTCTGGTGTTAGGGGTATGTTTATTTTTAACATTTTATTTAAAATTCTTTGCAGTTTTTTCCAAAATTTTTGGATTTTTTTACAATTCCACCAAATATGCATAAATGTTCCTGTATTTTTCTTACATCTCCAGCACTTATTAGATGCATTTGGAAAGCATTTTGCAATTTTATTCGGTGTCCAGTGCCATTTATAATACATTTTATATATGTTTTCTTTAAGTGGAACTGCTCTCGTCATTTTAATTGATTTCCGTATTTTTATCCAACTGTTTTCATCTAATCTGTGACCTATTTCTTTCTCCCATCTCCGTTTGAAATCATTCATTTCTTCTTCCTGCTCCCCGTCCTTCAATATTTTCTTATACGTTCTTTGAATTAGCTTGTCACTTGTCGAGAACCAAATTTTGTCCAATTCTGATGGGGTATTATAAAAGCCTAGTTTTTTATCTATATTAAATCTTGTGTGTATTATATTTTTATCTCACCATGACAGTGTTATCTGCTCCCCGTCCTTCAATATTTTCTTATACGTTCTTTGAATTAGCTTGTCACTTGTCGAGAACCAAATTTTGTCCAATTCTGATGGGGTATTATAAAAGCCTAGTTTTTTATCTATATTAAATCTTGTGTGTATTATATTTTTATCTCACCATGACAGTGTTATCCCTTGTTCTTCTAACATATCATCTGGTTTCAGTGCCATTTCTTTTGTAAGTAATTTACTGTATGTTACCTTCTTTCCTGTAGTTACCAGTGTTGGTAATATGAAGGCTTCTAGTGGGGATACCCATAGCGGGAGTTTTGTGTAATTCTTTTTCTTTATTTCATTCCAACCAGTATTCCCTCTAAGCTGAGTGAGTGTGAGCTAGCTCACGGTTTTTTAGCCTCCAGCTCACACATTTTTGTCTTAGCTCGAGAAGGAGGGCTCCAGAGCAAACTAATTTATGCAGTAGCCAAGTTGCTCGCTCACAAATTTAATGCCAGTGGCTCACAAAGTAGAGTTTTTGCTCACAAGACTCCACAGCTTAGAGGGAACATTGATTACAACTGATCCCCAGACTGTAGCGGTCAGCTCCCCTGGAGAAAACGGCAACTCTGGATGGTGGACTCTGTGGCATTAGAACCTTGCTGAGGTCCCTCCCCACCTCAAACCCTGACCACCCCAAGCTCCACACCAATGTTCCCTCTAAGCTGAGCGAGTGTGAGCCAACTCACACTTTTTCAGCCTCCGGCTCACACATTTTTGTCTTGGCTCGGGGAGGAGGGCGCCAGAGCGAACTGATTTATGCAGCAGCCACATTGCTTGCCCGCAACTTTAATGCCAGCCGCTCACAAAGTAGAATTTTTGCTCACAGGACTCCACAGCTTAGAGGGAGCATTGCTCCACACACACACCCCAGTCTCCAGGTATTTCTCAATTAGTAGCGGGCAGCTCTATCAAAAAGGAGGCTTCCTCTGATACACAAATGCAAGAGGCTGTCTTATTGTTTTCCCGCTGTTTGATCTGAAGATTCCCCCCAAAAAAATTATGGAACCTTCTGCATGCCAGGCTGATGCTCTAACCACTGAGCGACAGTCCCTCCCTACCCTTGGTCCATCACAGACTGGCAGTGTCTACTCAGACTGGCAGTGGCTCTCCAGGGTCTCAGGCGGAGGTCTTTCCCATCACCTCCTGCCTGGTCCCTTTTTAACTGGAGATGCCGGGGACTGAACCTGGGACCTTCTGCATGCCAAGCAGAGGCTCTGCCACTGAGCCAGGGCCCCTCTTTACAGCTCTCCAGGGTCTCAGGCGGAGGTCCTTCCCATCACTTCCTGCCTGGTCTTTTTTAACTTGAGATGCCAGGGATTGAACCTCAGACCTTCTGCATGCCAAGCAGAGGCTCTGCCACTGAGCCACAGCCCCTCTTTACAGCTCTCCAGGGTCTCAGGCGGAGGTCTTTCCCATCACTTCCTGCCTGGTCCTTTTTAACTGGAGATGCTTTTGGAGATTGAACCTGGGACCTCCTGCATGCCAAGCAGAGGCTCTTCCACTGAGCTACAGCCCCTCTTTACAGCTCTCCAGGGTCGACTGGCTTTCAAGCAAGGGAATCTTTACCTTTACCTAACTCCCCTGAGGCCCGAACTGGGAGAGCACAGGCTAGCCCGATATCAGGTCTTGGAGGCTAAGCAGGGTCGGCCTTGGTTAGGACTTGGGTGGGAGACCACCAAAGGAAGTCCGGGGTTGCTACGCAGAGGCAGGCGATGGCAAAACCCACCTCTGATCGTCACTTGCCTTGGAAACCGAAATGGTGACTATAAACCTGCTGCATTAGAGAGCATTTTGCCGGCCACATTTAAAATTTAGAAGCCTTCTAACCGGTTAGAAAAGAAGGACTGGTTTGCCCCTAATATAAGCATTAATAGAGTGTCAACGGAGAGCATTGAAGCCAGCAAAATGAAGAAGGCTTTTGCATCTAGAGAAGACAAGACCGGCTTGCTCCTAATAGGAACACTTTAAACAGAACCGGAGGTAAGTTCTAAACAATGGCGGGAAACACGGGGGGGGGGGCTATTTGCGCTGTCGCATTCTGGTCCGCCATCATTCAATCAGACGCGACAGCGGTGCACCGGGGTTTCGTCCTTCGGCCCACGCTGCAAAGAGGACGGCCGGAGGGAACAGGCGCGCGCCGGCGCAATCACACCAAACGAGTCCGTCTGCAGCCCGTGGCAAGCCATTTGCTAGTAGATCTTTGCAGGTACTTTTTAACTGCGCCTCTTCGGCGGCACGCCATGGGTGCGCAACGCTTCCCAGATGTCGTGGTGTGATCGCGCCCCGAAAATCCGCCTAGCATTCGCGCCTTCCCCCCCCCCCCGGGAATGCAGTCCCGCCTTCCCCCCCCCCCCGGATAATAATTTGAAGAATGTATACCCCTGAGGCTCATACAGAGCAGTTTGCCAGCCTAATTCAGATGGCTTTCGCACCCGTGCACAGAAGGAGTGAAGGACTGGCCGGCTCCCAAAAGAACACTGAGCTGTATCAAGAAGCTGACACCCTTCGAAGATAACAGAATTACTCCTGAGAAAGATCAGGACGAAATGAGTCTATATCTGGGTGCTCACTGAGACGGATGGACTTTTCCTTGTAATATTATAAAGATTTATTGATCTACGTTGTAATACAACGTTTAACCTGCAAAGATTTACTAGACGCCTTAGCCATCACATCACAGTGTTTATTCGGTTGTATTTCCTGTAAGGGTAACTGATCGTGAGAGGGAGGGCAGGAAAGGTTGCCTCAGTGCTTAGTTCTCGTGGCCAATGCTCCCTCTAAGCTGTGGAGTCTTGTGAGCAGAAATTCTACTTTGTGAGCGACCGGCATTAAAGTTCTGAGCGGGCGATTGGGCTGCTGCATCAATCGGTTTGCTCTGGAGCCCTCCTTCCTGAGCTAAGATGAAAATGTGTGAGCTGGAGGCTAAAATACTATGAGCTAGCTCACACTAACTCAGCTTAGAGGGAACCTAGCTCATGGCCCTTCCTTACACGCCCAGGGAAATGCCGATCGCCACTTTGGGGTCAGGAAGCAACTTTTCTCCAGGCCAGTTTGGCCAGGTGGGCATGAAATGGCGGTCACTGTGTGTGTGTGTGTGTGTGTGTGTGTGTGTGTGTGTGTGGGTGGGGAGGTATTTGTGAATGTCCCGCATTGTGCAGGGGGTTGGATTACATGACCCCGCAGGTCCCTTCTGATCCAAACATTCTGGGAGTGCTCCCACGGTGAATCTGTATAAGAAGTTATATTAAGTAGAAGCATTATTAGAGGCCTCTGTGGATGGAATTAGGATGCAGTAGAATGGAATGCTATTTGGAAATTACAAGGACACCTAACACTGGAAGTGATGTGGCATACAGATGTTCGGTGTTCTTAAAACAATATATTCCCTTTGTAAGAAAGAGCATCTGGTACTGGGAAACGTGCCAAGAGCTAAGTTTAAGGTGAATCACAACCCTTATCAGCTAGCTCTCCAAATGCGAGGCGGAGGGAGGCTAGCTTCGCTGAGGCCAGAAAGAGTCCCAGCCAGTGTTCCCTCTAAGCTGAGTTCGTGTGAGCTAGCTCACAGTTTTTTAGCCTCTGGCTCACACATTTTTGTCTTACCTCAGAAAGGATGGATCCAGAACAAACTAATTGATGCAGGAGCCAAATCACTCGCTCACAACTTTAATGCCAGTGGCTCACAAAGTAGAATTTTTGCTCACAAGATTGCATAGCTTAGAGGGAACATTGGCCCAGCGGTCCCTAATGTTTCTCATTGCATCTTAGGATGCATTAACAGAAGCATTGTGTCCAGATCACGGGAGGTGGTCGTTCCACTCTATTCTGCTACGGTCAGGCCTCACCTGGAGTCCTGTGTCCAGTTTGGGGCACCACATTTGAGGAAGGATGTTGACAAGCTCGAGCGTGTCCAGAAGAGGGCAACCAGGATGGTGAGAGGGTTGGAATCCAGGTCTTACGAGGAAAGGCTGAAAGAGTTGGGTCTGTTTAGCCTGGGAAAGGGAAGGCTTAGAGGGGACACGATTGCAGTCTTCAAGTATTTGAAGGGCTGTCATGTAGAAGATGGAGCAGATCTATTCTCTCTTGCTCCGGATTGCAAGACTAGATCTAATGGGTGGAAATTACAAGGGAGTCGTTACCGGCTAAATATCAGGAGGAACTTCCTGACTGTAAGGGTGGTTGAGCAGTGGAACAGACTGCCTCGGGAGGTGGTGGGTGCTCCTTCACTAGACGTTTTCAAGCGGAGGCTGGACGACCATCTTTCGGGTATGTTGTAGGTATGTACGGCTCTCTTTCAGCTATGCTCCTGCAGAGTGCAGGGGGTTGGACTAGATGACCTGCAAGGTCCCTTCCAATGCTAACATTCTATGATTCTATGATTGTTCTAAAGTCAGAGAAGCAAATGCAATCGCTGACATACATGACCATGATGTTACCTGCTTGGTACCAACTAAGAGATTCTTTAATGTGTAAATTCTATATGATGTCACTTGGGGTATATGACCTTCTGCTTTTACTGGTTACAGCTTGGCATCGCTGGGGGCCAAAAGGTACTCAGCCCTGTATCTCCTGTTTCATTGCAATAAAACAGATTTAGCCGGGGGGGGGGGGGGGAAAA